TGTGTGTGTGTGTGTGTGATATACAGGCCTACAGAACAATTTGGTGCCAAGATGCAATGTGTTCACTTTGCAAGCTGAGATGATTGTTTCTCACTTTAGTTTTCATCAAAACATTACCGTAACACTACACTTTAACAGATTACTACTGCATGCCATGCCTAGACACGCATACGGGTACACACACACACACACACACACACACCCAGTACCTTCCATATCTCCTCCTCGCTCAGGGAGGTGAGGCGGTCGCTCTTCAGCACCTCCCTGAGGAGGCGGTAGGGCAGCTGCAGGGCCTCATCCTGCCTGCTTTGGCTCAGCTCAGACAGATGCTCCACCAGGAAGCCCACCACGGCTTCCTCTAAGGCGGGGAGGTGGAACAGGTCAGCCACGCGGTACAGCTCCAGGTAGTTCACACTGCTCAGTTCCTGCAGGGTGAATACATAAACATACAAATGAATGCACAGATTCACCATCAGTGTTTTCTCAGTCCTTAAAACAGCAATATGATCTCCTAAATGTTATAATTTTGTTAGGAGGTATAGTTAGTGAAACGTTAACATATGTAAGATTCTTTTATGTTAGCCATCATTTTATAAGAATTATGTGATGTCTTGTTTGTTTTTTGTCAACTCATCTAGAAGAGTTGGACATACACACATGTACATACATGAGCCACACATATACAGTATGTGGGTTGATTTCAATTATGTAGTTAAATGACAACATTACAGATGCCAAATGTAGAGACACAGGCACTGGCAGGCAAGGAGAGCAAAAGAGGTAAATAAAAGAAAATAAGGCCTGACTAGTGGAATGAGACTGCCATCTTCTGGCTGTCCTTCAGCACATACAGTGCTATATCAACTAGCACATTCCCTTCTACTACTGTTCAACCTGTAATAATGTAATACCTTTGTGGATTGGGTTTTTAAAGTAGATATTTTGCAGTGAAATTCATTCACATTTCATTACATTTTACTACTGCTACTAATATTTTACAGAATAAAGTATGTAGTGTGTATTTTATTTAGAAAAATCTCTGAATCAGGATTTAAAACACATTAAATTAAAGTTCTTCAATAAATATTAGAGTGTGATTATACAAATAACAACAGCAACAATCATGCATACACACAGTCAAAATGTGTCATTAGAATCTTTTCAGATATAGGACTCAGATATAGCGCTACACACAGCAAGTGTAGCATCGATCAGTTATCCAATATTCAATTAACCGGGTCCTGTTAAGAGGTGGATAATCCTGACTGCGTGATATATCTGATTTTCAGTCAATTGGTGCAATGTCAGCTGATGTGTGCTCTGCAAACAAGGATGTTAGCAGGTAAAGAGATGAACAAACAGAAAAGTCAGCGACTTATTGTGTTTTGTTTGTACTGAGGAGGGGCTGCTCACTACAAATCTATAGAAATGGGGCTTTTGCAACCACCAGATGGCACTTTTGAGCTAAGTTTACTATTGTGATGTAAAGACTTAGATGGTAAAATACACAAAAGATGTCAGGGATTTGAGAAGCACAAGCTGAAATAGTACATGTATTGATGTGTACATGTACGTAATTAGGTGATATTTAAACCACTGCAAAATGCCTGAATTCCAGAGAAACATAAAAAACTGTGTATCAAACACCTCAGAGCAATTCTGCTCCGCAACAGCCTCAACCTGATTTGTCTTTATCTACGGCAGCTTTTGGCAGCGTACCCAGAGGACAGTAGGCTGACTTTGCCTCTGTTCCAACAGTTCCATCTTGGGCTCGGTGATAAAATACATGAAACAAGTTTTGAAATCAACCTGCAGTGATGTTAGCTGAAAAGAACAGTTTGACATTTTGGGAGATTATATACACTTATTTGCTTTCTTGCCCAGATTTAGATGAGAAGATTAATACCACTCTTGCATATCTAAATGCTGAATATGAAGCTAGAGCTGGGAGAAAGTTAGCTTAGCTTACTGGAAGCAGGAACAACAAGCCCGGCTCTAAAATATCCACCCACCAGCGCCTTTAAAGATGACTAATTAAGATGTTACATTGTCTTTGTTTAACTTAAAACTACAACTCCAAGAAGCACATAACACCCCCCTAAAACAAACTTGTCCTTTATTTACACATTTTTGCACAGATTACACCAATGAGTTATAATGTGTTGATTAATGAGCTTTACAGGTGCTGGTAAGCAGATTTTGTTACCTTTGGACAGAGCCAGGCTAGCTGTTTCTCCCTGTTTCCATTCTTTGTGTCATGCAAAGTTTCCTGGCTCTAGCTTCATGCTCTCAGCAATACAGAGAGTGTGTTACAAGTGCATTTCCCAGAATGCTGAACTATTCCTTATTGATGTCACTGTTGCTGCTATCAGTACACACAAGCATCATTTGCTTCTACACAATTTTTTTTTAACAGACATTACAAAGGGAGGATCATAAATGTTCAGTTACACACCACCAGTTCATATCTGTCACAAGCCAGATCTCTGTCAGTGTCTTCAACATGCACAAGCACATGTTTGACTCAAGGGACGGTCAAAATACACATAGTATAATGATGAACAATATGTAATGTTGGTACAGGTGACAGTCTGATGTTGTTGCTTTTAACTTTTATTGGTGAAAAGAATTGGAGTGGCCATATCATAAAAATGAAGCAGCCAATATCAATATATTCACCATAATCCCTATTAAAAATACAATATATAAATTCCTTCCATAACCTGGTCATGGTCCTGGTCCTGGTCCATGCTACCCTGTTGTTTGTCTGAAGAGGACTGGTTTCTTAGTGCAGCTTAGAATTTGCAGTGTGATACCAAAGAAATCATCTGTGAAATAAATTATAACATAAAAGCTACCCCCTTCAAGTTAAGTGACCCATTTGTAAATTTTCCTTGATATTCCCGCAGAGAGGATTAAAATCCCCCGACTGTTCCTGAGTGGAACGCACTTCTCAAAACTCCATGACATTATAGGATTTCCATTAAACTGATGGAACTGTAATGTGAAGCAGTTATTCCTCTGATTTCCTCTTATTATGTCTCCAGCTCTTGCACCAAGAGAACAGGTGGTGTGTGTGTGTGTGTGTGTGTGTGTGTGTGTGTGTGTGTGTGTGTGTGTGTGGTGTTGTGTGTGTTACCTGTTATGAGGTAGTGGGAAGCAGAGGGCTGAGGAGCTCCAGCAGCTGAAGGTGGCTGCCTTGCAGACAGGACGTCCTGGATCACTTGCCGGCTCCAGCAGGATCTGTCCAGGGGAAATAAACAAGGTCATTGGTTTCATTTTATGATTTCAGTTTCACTGGCAGTAGGGGTGCAGTTAGATATTAGGTTCATTTAACTTATTATGGCATATAGTTGTTCATTTTTTATGGTCATTTGGTATTTGTTATATTCAATATGGAGGAACTGAAATCGTATGGAAAATAGTACATTATTCAATATGTTATCTTCATGTTTATAGCTAGCTACTTAACTAGTCTTGTTAACCCTTTAAATGCACAAGGTCTTTAAACTTTTGATTTTATTTTATATTTTATTAAATTAACCCTCAACTTGCCAGTATGTCTAATACTATCTTAACAACTTTATGGCATGAGAAAATGTCAAAATTGTTGACGAACATTGGCTTTTCCTAATGGTTCTAAACCAGTTGTATAAGGTGGGTAGAGAAGACATGAGTTGTCAGTTGATTGGTCCCCCCACTTTGGTGCAGACCTGAAATATCTCAAACATCTGTTAGATAGATTGCCATGAAATTTGTACCACTATCCCAGAGGATACAGAAAGGTCCAGAGGATCAAGTGACTACTGACTTCCGGCCGATACTTGACTTTTCCTCCACCAGAAGGTTGACATTTGGGTTCTTGGTGAAATGCCTCAGCAGGAGTGTAATAACCTGACTTTTTATCCAGGCATTATTGTAGGGCAACATTTTTAAATTTTTTATTAAGGATGGGTGAACATGGTAAAATTTCTTTGCTCCCAGTCTTGTTTATTCAGTGTAATGCTGTATCAGGTGGTTTTTCTGTTTTGGGCCTTACACTGGGCACTGTTTGTGTGTGACGTGATTTCGACTGTAATGTTTTATCAGGCAACTGATTTGATAGTGAATCTGTGATTTCCATCAATTTTTTGCAAGCAGAAATGGCCTTTTTTATTTTTCAAATATTAGGCATTTGTACATATTGTTTTAGGTATTTGGGGTTTAAGGAAATCATAATTTAACATTTCTCAAAATTCTGAAATTTTTAAGACAAAAAACGAATAGTTGAAGCCCTATTTGTGTGGACCAATTTCTGTTTGGTAAGGTCAAAGTCATTGTGGCAGTTACAGGGGGCAGCCCTATGTGGGCACAGTATGTAGGAACCATAAAGTTTACTGGATTATGCTACTGTAGAAACATGGCGGTTCACATGGGCAGCCTCTTGTTGTGGAAGAGGACCCGCTCCCTCCGTAAATAAAAACAGCTCATTCTAAGGTAACAAAAACACAACAAGTCTTATTTTCAGGTAAATTGTTATTACTTATTTTGATATACACTAATGAAAACATACCTATGGATATTATATAAAATTTTTGCCAATAGATCCTCCTAAATGTTACACAATCTTCAAGGGTTAAGTCATAAGCACTAATACTGTTTGACCTGAGCTAAACTCACTTAAGATGAAAAGCAGTCATAAACTTTATGTATTTAATTTCATTATCTAGCTTTCCTTTTTTTGTTTTTGGTGGATTTTAGTTTAGAATCAGGGAGAATTCTGTCTTATTTCAGAATGTTTTACATGGTGTAATAGAAACAGGGATATTGAGTGTGACAGATTGCACAACAGAACAAGAATTGCTCCATCAATGTGCTTGATTCACCATTATCATGCTCTCAGCAAAGCAACATATTCAGGCAATTACTACAGCACTCATTCTGCCCAAATGCTTCCTGTTGAGCTGAATGAACAGCAGCTGAAAGCATCCTTCTGTTTCCTCCATATTACCCACCCATACGCATTAACATAAAGCTCTGTAATACAGCCAATTCATATCGCTGGGCTCTCAGGACCTGAGCCAGGCATCGTGTATTTTATGGAGAGTAAACTGCCCCTTTTTGTTTCTAATTTCAGCTCACTGACAGAACCACATGGAGTTAAATATTCTATTAATCACTGGAGTAATAGCCCAATCAGACTAAACATGCCCCATGTCACCTCTTACACAGTGGACTCACCTACTCCAGATGAAATTTGGCATTGTTTTAAAGGGCAGGAACAAACCTTTGATAATCCATTCAGCAGCACTGCCCTACATAGCCACAGAGGCGTGACTGCATCCGTAGTGAAAGTGAGAAAAAATGACTTCATCATTTGTCTCCCTCGCCTCTCACTACTGTTGATACAGTAGTGGGCTGAATATTGTTAAGCAGCACTCATGGGTATCATTTCTGCTACAGCCTACTCATTAGTTATGATTTCTGAAAACAGAAAACGCAGCTTTTTCATCTTGGTAGAATAAAAATCTGTGTAGTATGTATGTAGTACTTCCTTCTGGTGCACGCTTGTCTACTTATTGTAAATGATGTCGAAAACATTTTAGTGTGCGTCTGTGCCTAATTACATCGCTATAAATACACACATTATTTGACCACTTTAGCATTCATGTAAACAGTCCATTGGAAATCATCAAGCAATTTCTTTATGATCAGATATTGTCCCTGTAACTAAAGACACTTAGGAAAAACAAGCAAAACAAGCTTCTCTGCAATTAGCTGCATCTGCACATTTATCACAGTATGGTTTCCTGCCAGGCATGGGCAGTGGTCCAGTTAACCACCAGCACAATCTATGGGCTTCCAAAAGCTTACCATATGCAGATAGAAAACAGTAATGCAGTAAGTGGTTCTTTGCTTCCATTAATGAGATCTGAATGCACTGAGCCCCAGTAAGGATATAAAGACTTCCATCTTTGATCAACAATCAGAGAGAAACTCTCTTAAATTAAGAGGAAAACTAAACTCTGGGCTACTTTAAACACCACCATTACTTTTATTAGACGAATATAAGGCTGAGGCAGACATGATCAAAAACTACAGACGCTCAATTTTCTTCTTCTTCTTTCACTCAATCAGCATGCTGGCAGACAGCAGCAGTGTTGAAGGCTAACCCGAATAATAACTGTAAGTGAACGCTCTTCATATCCTGCTCTCCTCTCCTCTCCTCTCCTCTCCAGAGGCCCACTACAGTTAAAGCACTTCAACCTCAAACAGCAGAAGTCAGTTTTATAACACCGTGGCAGGTTTAGTGTGGGAGTACAGTGAGCTCTTGTGTAAACCGACATTTATTGCCCTTGTTACTTGCGAGCCTTCACCTGGAGGAGAAGACGAAATGAAAAGGAGATGCTTGTACAGCAGAATATAGAAGTCTTCTACCCCAGGATCTGACTTACGTAGGCTCACTTCACTCGTTCAGCTCAGAAAATAGATTTATAGTGTGAAAAATGTCATGTCTGTGGGTGATAAAACACTGCAGGATGTCCAGGGTGTTTAATTGATTGAAATACCCACAGTGGAATTGGCATGCAGTAAAAATGTCATTGAAGTTACTGACTGAGAGCATCCCGTGGCAGCATGTCTTCTCACTCACACTGCTGGCCTATGACATGTGGCTGAAGGATTTTTAGTAGGTCATTATTTACGGTGTGGGGATAAGCATATTGCCCTCATCTCTCATCTGCTATCATCTCCTCTGGGCAGACAGGAGCTGAGCCAACCAAAGCAGGGCGGCTTGCAAGCCTGCTGTTGACCTACTTACACTGCCCAACCACTCACTGTTTGCTCATTTCCACTGTGGAAATAAAATTAGGAGTAATTACAAAGTTCCTGGCCTCTCAGCGCACTGCATAAGCCACTAGGCTGCTTACTTGGACTGAGCATCGCCAGCACTAACAAGGTCAAGGAAGGTTATTAGAAATGATCACACACTTATTCTTTGATGATAGGATGAAAAGGTGAGGAAAGTGGCCTGACTCACATGACGGTCTCACTGCTTTGGTATGGAAATGTAATACTGTGCTCTTTACTTCCGCTTCATTGAATTGAATTCTGTGTCTTGTTTAGAATGTCAGATATAATGTTCAGCAGTGTGACCACAGAGGAGTGGTGACGGGTTTATGGTAAAAATCAGACACAGCACCTGCACACTCCTGGATAACACGCACGCTGCAGTAGAAGCTGCTGCTGCTGCTGAGATTAAAGTGGTAATCTGCAAATGGCCTGTTTTGATTTATTTTGGTGACATATTTGGCAATGGTGAAAAGTAACTAAGTACAAATCTAAAGTACTCATACTTGAGTATTTCAATTTTTTACTACTTTAGACTTGTATTCAACTGCATTTTAGAGGGAAATGCTGCATACTAGTAAATTTACTAGTATACTACATAATAGTAAAAGCTTTAGTCACTAGTTATTGGCAGATAGAGTTTTTATATGTAAAACATTTGATCTGCTTATAAAATGTGTTGTTTTAAATTGAGCTACCTAAAAATATATAAAGATGCTTCCCCTGAACCAGCAACAACATTACAATTCTACTTACACATCAATGCATCCATAATACTTAAATAATATATTTAGAGGTTAAGTTTTGTTTCAATTGCAACTAACTGAACAGCGTCTTTATTTGACAACCTGGGAAAGAGAACGGACTGTATTGTAGGAGAAACTACGGTGACTCAGAGCTACCCTCAAACTTTTTCTGGCATGCCCCCCTTCAGAAGTTAAAGATTGATAACCACTGGCCTAAGCAGATGCAATGTAGATATAGGCCTGATTAAGCAGCCAAGTATCTTGTATTTGCTTAGGAAAGGACGCAGTCACCCTACATAGGAGTCATGGACAGTTAGGTTATGTAGGTTTCACTAGGTCAGGGTTAGAGAGTGGTGTCACCTGCCAGTAGTACTAATTATAAATAAAAAATATTATATTAAGTATTATTATATTTAACATAAATGCTGGGCTTTCACCAATATGTTAGCACATTTCACCATGTATATCTATTAATAATTTTGCTGATAATACTAATTACAATACAATTAATGCTAATCACATTTTGAATGCATTACACACTTTAGTTTGTTTGTTTGCTATTTTTTGTGCTAATTATTCAACCACTATTAGATACATTTTTCTTGAGTGTTTTTGAACAGCACTTTACAGCTATCACCTCCCAATAAAACAGTGTGGGAAATCTTTTCTTTTCTTTCTTTCTGTAGGTGCTCTTTTCTGTCAGGTGTAGTGGCTATTGCTCAGACTCACCTGTCCAGTGTAGGCAAAATCCAAAGCATGCTTCAATCCAACGCCGGTCACTCCTTGCAGAGTCACTTCGTCTGCCTCACTCTCCACCATGCACAAGCTGAACATAGCCTGATGACACATAACGAAAGCATGGAGGATAGTTAGTTGAGGGATTGCCACATCACAGATATAACCAGACATGGGACATTAAAAAAATACCTATAATCACAGACATTGATGGTGAAATCAATCCAGCTTGTTTCTTTCCTTCAACGTCAACTCTGAAGGGGGATCATATTATATCTGTTGTTCCACTATTAACAGACTGTGAAATCGGTTATGTATGTGCACATGGTGAAAAAACAGCATCGTACTTAATCAAATCCTGCCAGACGCAACATCCTAGAGCCCTCCTGTATCGATTCCCCTGCCTTGGCCCCGGAGGTCAGCAATAATAATAGCACAATCAGTACTTTCTGTTATGCAGCCTCTCTGTCTTTCTCTCCTTTCCTGTCACGCACACACACACACACATACACAGTCACACATGTGCACACCACTCTCCATGTGAAATCAAAGCAGTGGATGCAGCGTCTGCAGTCTGGCCCTGCTGTGCGTGAGTCCAGCTTGCTGCTCGCTAATCAAAGCTATTGACGGGTTTTACACCATGAAGGGATGACAGAGCCATTGATCAGGGCCGACCAGCAGAGCGCAGCAGTGTGGGAGGGAAGCGCAAGAGGAGGTCAAATGTGGTCATGATGAAGATCAACTCTACCTGTATCAGTCTCGTCAGATATGAGGGACAGCGAAGTTATGAAGCTTTGAAGATTTGACTTTATATTTTTTCCCTCTGGATTGTAATGGGACAAACAGACACCATAAATTGCTTTTGAAAAGTAATTCTAGCTGCTGTAGACATTGTCTTTCCCCACAGTTTCCTTGCCTCAGGATAGTGATCTAGCTAACTTGCAATTTCGCATATCTCTTTAATCACAGTAGCAGTTTGCAGCACAGTCACTCTGCACTATCTCTACCCAGAGACTGGTGCATAACAGCATTATAAGCTTTGAAGGCCCTCAGGCTGGCCAGTTAGCTTAGCTTCTCTTTCTGTCACGAGAATGACATTCATTCCTCCCAAAAACTCATCTAATTCTCCTTGATTCATAGCACCCATGAACTTTAACCAGGCCCCCCTCCTCCGGCGAATGGCCCCTCTGTATTGTGAGGGTGACGTGTTAGACAGGGTCGACTTGAGGCCACACTGAGTTTTAACCAAGGCCTGCACATCTTTCCTCAGAGATCAGCCTTGTTGATTCACCACTCCACTAATTAAAAATCCACTGCTCCACTGAGCACAGGAACGCCTGTGGCTAAACCTGGGGTGTGATGGTGGCTGAGCTGTGGTCAGTGTGTGCATGAGTGTAAAACACAGAAAGTTGAACTGAGGCAGTACAGGCACAACATAAAAGAGAAGAGCACATGTGGCAGAGAAACTGCCTACGCTTTGCATGTTTGCTTCCATGTTAGTGTGCGCAGAGGCTGAGCGAGGGCACCCTGAGAGTGTTCGCCTCCAGCATGAGTGCTCCTGACCTTGGTGGAGGAGCCGAGGGAGAGCTGGTGGTGACGGATGGCTCCTCTGACTTGGGATATAGATCCAGCACAGAGACACACTGAGCCACAGAGCCGGGCTCACTGCAGTCCTTTCACATGATGCTGCAGTGGGGGTGCAGCACTGCAGCGAGACCGACCTGCCAGCAGGATTTATGTGTGTCTGCTTGTTGTGATCATACCAGAGAGGACTTGTGACTCCCTCACGCACCAAGTGAAATATTACTAAATATTCAGTGAGGTTCTTTTCGTGTCTAAGCGAAATAATAGTCTCCGTGGGCCTGTAGCTATATTTACTGCCAGATATGTCACAGAAATCATAAGTGATTACACAGAAAGCTCTTACAATGCCCAAGGCTCAGCTGCCAGTTTTGAAGACAAGTGCAGATATATAGCTGCTGCTGGTATTTGATTTCAATATGTTGAAGTTTCCAAGGGTTCAGGGTGTATTACAGATTTTTCTTTTGGGACAAGTAGAAAAACTTGTGAAACCACATTCAGACCATGAAATACAAAACCTTTAAAAGATTTTGCTAGTCGTACTGATTATATTATGTTATGTTTGTGTGTGGTCGGATGAAAATGTTGCATTAATCAGTTCGCAGTTCTCAACCACGGCTTTACTAATTCAGGCTGAAATGAAGACGTTCTTGAATAACAACGCTCTCTAAAATTGAATTACAGACAACATGAGTAGAAAGACAAAACTGTGATCATTTGATTGGCTGAGTGCTGATCATATGATTCCACTTCTGTGTAACTGTTAATAGTATTATTGTGTTTTATGTTGTGCTCCACAATGTTTCCACACTTCCATGGATGTTACTCATTAGTTAAGTGAATTAAGTTAGACTGTAAGTGATGTGTGCACAAATAGTGTGTTCAGTTGTAAAGTTAATTAGAAGCCTTGTGCTACTTTATGTTTGTTCTCTATAAATGAGATCTTCATAATATATAATTATTGCCAACCACAATATCTTAGCTTTCAAATATTATACTTCTTATAATTGTATGGCTAAGATGCAAGTCAGTATATAGATATAATTTGCAAACCCATATATCTGTCTAAGCCTTCATCAGTGCTGCAGTTGTTCTAGCTCACTAATGTTTCTTAAATATTGCAAAGTTGGTATGAAAAGTTGTTGAGGCTTTTTTGTATCAGTAAATATCTGACAGGAACATGCACAAAATTTGAATCTGTGATCGAGCCACTGAATGTCCTTCCATTTACCTGCAGATTACTTTAAGGTGAATGGAATAAATATAAAAAATAAAGTGAAATAACAAAAGCAGACAGTCAAATCAAGCTACATTAATTGGAAGGCACAGAGGATATATTGATACAGTCAAACTACTGCACAGCCCATCTTAAAATAGCATTGTCTTTAGAAGAGGTTAAAGCAGAAACAGAGTTGTGTGTAACTGTGTATGCAGGTCGTACGTACAGCGTGAAATGTTTCTTTGAGACAACAATAGCTTTTGATATGGATTCTGTCCTGACTGGAGGGCTAGCAGATGATATTTCTCTGTATGACAGAGAAAGCAAGTGTGTGTGTGTGTGGGCGCTATCGCTAAGGGTGCTGTATGATGCTTGTGTGACTGATTTCAGACATCTTAGTAATGTGACGGCATTGGAAGAGACAGGTGACACATTCAGGACAAGTCTCAGGTAAACAACTCACGCTTGGTCAGGTATTTCATTACAATTACTCATGTCCACCGGGCTAGATAATGCGTTATAATCACTGCTACGTGTGTGTCCGAGTGTGAAAGAAAGAGAGAGAGAGAGGGAGAGAGAAAGAGAGAGAAAACACAGCCGCTATTCACGACACAAGGCACCTTCATCTCCTCAGTAAATGAACTAAATGAAACCCAGCGGTGGAGTCAGATGACAAACTGAAGATAATTTTGTTAAGCCCCCACGGAGGAACAGGGGAGCAGAGTGAGTTTTCTTGCTTACTGTAACAGGCTGATCAAATAATCTGAGTGCGGGAACAACAGTGTTGCTCGGCTCAGCTGGGACCTGAAAGAGCGGCATTTAAAAACGGAGCCGAGGAACAAAATGAGAACAAAAGTGAAGAGGATGAACAAAAGGAGGAGAGGAGTGTGACTCGCCCACCCTTAACTCTTTGCAGAGAGAAATAAAAATAACCTACACACACTCACACACAAGAGGAATAATCCCTGGGCAACTTGGACATATTTAATCTGCCTCTCATTTTCAAGAGGGATTAATTCCCACTTTCTAATCTGCTCAGTGTCCCTAAATCAAATCTCATCGGTGCACTTTTCCCTGTGTGGCCCGTCTCCTGTTTGGCTGTCTGACAGCGTGAGTCTACCTTTAGCTACTTCTGCTGGAATCAGACCAAAGCCTTGGCAAGAGGCCACACAAACGCAATCACTAGGGTTCAATCCAAGTGGGATGGTGAGGGATGATCTTGTACCATCTGCACATGCGAGCCTGACCATTTTCATGACAAAAAACTCAACAAGAAACTGAGTTTCTCCAAGACTTCTTTTCTTGGCAGCATGGGCAGAGCCCCTCAAACAGCACTTACACCATTGTGGGACCCTAACATAATCTGTGCTAATGGAGTGAGCAGAATAAGACAAGTTTTGTGGCAATTTTAGCAATCTACTAGCCTTGAAGATGGTTGCGTAACACTTTATTGTCACCTCCATCACATCAGCAGCGGGCTAAACTGTCTGACTGATTACCTGCTTTTAATAGAAATCTCAGCTTGTGCAAATCCTTCATATTAGTCTAACCATTGTACATACAAAATAACCCACATAATCTTCCTGTTCAGCTACAAATGCTCATTTGCAAAACATCTTTATATTTTAAAGTCACATGCTATCTATGGTCCAGGACTCACCCTGAAGTAATCGCTGCACGCTGCCAGGACGGCTTTGTGGGCGTGGAACTTCTGCTCGCCAGCTACCAGGGTGACGTCACACAGTAAGCCATCCTTCCTCTGCTGGTTGAGGGCAGAGAGGACCGAGTCCTGGTGGGACCTCGACTGACAGAGCCTCTGTCCTGTCAGCATCTCCCTACTGCTGCACGCACACACGCACACACACACACACACACACACACACACACACACACACACAACACAGACACACAAACACACACACAGAAGACATGTTGTTGAAACAGCTCTGGTTATATTAATGACACTGATTATTTTAACTACTACTTCTATCACTACTTCCCCTACTTCCAAGGTGCATGGAGAAGGGAAAAGAGGTCAAAACTCCAGGCCTCAAGGTCACAAGCTGAAACACGTTGGATCTAAGAATGAAGTTCTTCTATATATACTACAAGTGTTGCTGGAGTTTTGACTCCTACACTACAGCAGGAAGACAATACACTTTCAGCCGTGCTAGCGGCATGGCTCTATGGATGGCAATGTGGGTCGATAGGTCCACCACTTTGGTCCAGACTGAAATATCTTTATAACTATTGAATGAATATTGGCAGTGAATTTGTTACAAATAGCCATGGTGCCCAGAGGATGAATGTTATTTATAATGTTATTAATTTGAATTTGTTGATCCTTTTACTTAAATTCAGTTCCAATTTGCAAATGTTAGCCTTCCAGCATGATAATCTAACTAACTTGGTAATATCTGCTAAATGTCAGCATTGGCATTGGTAACTGTGAAAATGTTGCCATGCTAGCGTTTAGCTCAAAGCTCCTAAAAGCTAGCTGTACCTGTATCTCTAATACTTTTTTAGGATAAAGCAGTCTTTTTTTTAATGACCACTGACCAAACAGCAAAGAGTTTAATCTAAACTGCCCAACAAAACCAAAATAAACTGGCATTTATTCAACTCATGTCCCAACAAAACCAAACTATCAACTACAAAGCAAATGCAAGGGGGTCAGCCCTATGTTCCCACAGCCCTATGTTCCCACAGCCCTATGTTCCCACAGCCCTATGTTCCCACAGCCCTATGTTCCCACAGCCCTATGTTCCCACATTTCTAAGATTTTTCTTAAAGTTAGGCCCTATGTTCCCTCAGCCCTGTGTGGTTAGGGTTAGGGGTTAGGGGGAGAAAGAGGGATAAAATCTGATACAAATTTATGAAAAAGGAACTGTGGGAACATAGGGCCTAATTTTGAAAAACATAATAGCTAAACTTACTAGTACTCTATCTGCTTAGCTGTTTCCTGTCATTCAAATAAATACATTTTGCTGAGCAAAGAGCCTGGTTAATTCTAGTTTCTTATCCATAATAAATAAGGTAGAACTTAAATACAGTGATGAAAAACAGCTAAAATAATCGTGAAAAAAGGTCAAGTTAACTACCCTAACCTTCAGCCTAGCTAAGCAGGGTAGCAGTAACTGGCATGTCAGCTTTTGACTGTAATGGATTTCATTGTGTGTGGTTATATGATTAAATTGTAAAACTGTTTTTCTACTTTCATTCATGATTTGAACCAACTTTTTTCCAACTTGAGAAAGTACTTACTGCTTTCTGCCTTTGTAGAGCAGTATACATACATATGTGTTCATATATTTATGCTTTCATAGCACTAGCAGTCCGTGGCAGTTGCTTTTTAGTGCCAGCATCCCATGGGAGAACAGCTTAATCCAAGTAATTTTATATTTCTATGTACAAGATGTATAACTAAAATAGTCAGTATAATCAGTAGTTTGATTTTCTTTTTTTCATATTTGAAATTGCATCAAGAATTAGGTCAAATTAAAAAAGTTACACTTTACTAATCACACAAAATGATTTGCTATGAATGACATGTTCTATTATGTCCCCACACTTACAAAGAACACTGTCTGCCCATTAGTATGTTTCTCACAGTTCTCAAGTCAGATTCTTTATGGTGGCCGAGACAAATACACTGACTACAGAACATGTCTGTAAGATTGTGGCTGACTGGCTGACAGATGGACTGCTGTGGGTCCATGTAGCACCAAATATACCCTGTTTACCAACCCATCCTCCGTCCCTCTCCGCTTGTACCCATCCATCAGTAGCACGCCACCCTGTCCATCCAAATCCATCTCTGTCCACTTACAGTTGCAGCAGTCACCCTAAATGCTGCTGTCTGCCAGGAGGCTTGCTCTGTCACCTTCATGGTGTATGGGGTGTAAGACAGAGGAAATAATGGGGCTGTGTGGGTGGGTGTGTGTGTGCGCTATACGGGCCAGTAGGATGAATGATGAGTCAGGCTGTTTGTTTGGTAGTTGGACTCTGCCGGAGAAAAGAGCCAGGGGAGAAAAGGACAAAATTGCCGTGCTGGATGAGAGGGAAGGGAAATTATATGATTCCACTATTAAGAGAGGGAGAAGTGGTGTGGAGGATTTGATGATGGGTGGAAGCCTTGCATGTCCTTGATGATAAGGAAAATATAAAGATAAAAATATAATCTTATAACTTCCATCAGGTTGAATGTGTAGATTATGATGCACTGTGCACATTTAAATAGCTACTCCACTAATAGCATTGCACTTTCATTACACGAAAAAAAGAAAGCTTTCCCATAATGCAACCAATAGCATATTTGTGCTAGACTCTCCTTGCCCACGTCTTTCAAACTTAATGCCCCTGAGCTTGCAGTTTAAAAAATTGTGGTCTCAAGCTCAAATTACATCATCTGAAGTTATTTTTCTTAGTCTTGACAAAGGTCTCCCAGAGCCACAGAAGGCATAATGCAACTGTTTTCACTGGCTGAATAGTACTCTTCATGACTAGAGAACTGACCTTGATTTATAATTGGTGGAGTTTTGCTTTAAAGCCACAATGTGATTATAGCATCTTTCAGCAGCGAGCATTGCTGTCTGTCACAGTGTCCTTTTCATGCTACCACTAGGAGACACCAAAGCCTGAAATGTTTAAACTGCATACGGCGCCATTAGGACTACAGTGTATAGGATTTAGCGACATCTAGTGGTCTAGCTGTAGGTTGCAATTAACTAAATACTGCTCGCCCTTTTTCCTCGTGAAAAACAAAAAAGGCCCTATCCAGAGCCTTTCTTTGGTTTGTCCGTTCTGGGCTATTGTAGAAACATGGTGTTTAACATGGCGGACGCCCTACTAGAGGATGTACTCCCTCTGTAGGTAAAAACGGCTCATTCTAAGGTGATAAAAACACGATACACAATCACTATACACACTAATGAAACATATCTATCATATTTATCATTTCTGCCAATAGATCCTCCTGAATGTTACACACTGGACCTTTAAAGACATGAAATGCATTTTCTACTTAACAAAGCAAAAGATTGGCAAGTCAATTTTAAATAAATCTAATCCCATGAAAAAGACAAGTTAACCCCACTAGCAAGTGTTGCCTGTGTAGCCAATTGTTGTCCAAAATGTATTAAAACACACCTTTGCACTGGGTGACGAGTTTCTTCATCATGGGGAACATGGGCACTGCAGTTTACTTTGAGTCAATCCTACATAGACCGGTCTGCTGCTGTAATACTCATTTGTGCACATCCACAGGTGAAAATTCTAGTCCCCAATGAATACACAGTTTACTTCTTTGAGTGCACTTTGCTTAAAACTACAATGCCCAGCTGTTTTAATTATTTAACCCCCTTTTGAAAAAATGTGACCAGTTTTTAAAGATTTACATCAGTAGAAAGTGAGTTCAGTGGGAATGAATGGGCTTAAGGTTGAGAGCTACAGACAAGCTGTATTGACAGTATTGAGAGAAGGACTAACACATTGTTGGTTTTGGTCTTTTCACAGGATTTGTTGACATTAACAAAAATATAGACTATACAGCCTTCTCCTCTCAGTGGGATTACCCTTGTCTAACCTCCACTACATCCAAACAATTAGCTGGATAAGACTAAAAAGCAAGTGTAGCCTGCACACTGGGAACACCTTCATTAAACTACATATTGATCTTACATGGATTTCCCTCGGGTTGCTCTCAGTTTCATAAGCAAGTGGCTGTTTGCCTACAGTCAGTACATGTCTCAGTGCATATACAATAACTGCTGCTTGGCTGCTTAGGGATTTTTTTCAGTTTGTGCCATGAGCCTCGAGCATGCATGTACTGCATATGTACAGTATGTATGGACGACGGACCAGGCCACTTACCTGAGGCTGGGTTCAGAAGGCATGCCCCTAGACAAAGGAAGAAGAGATGGCGGTGGAGGTGGAGGGGAGGTGCAATGTGGCTCCTGAGGACTGTAGTCTCCTCACTGGGAACAGACATCAGCCTGATAGGACAGAGCAGCACGTCAGCTTTACTCAGTCCATCCACTCGACCCAGCCGCACTGTGACAACCTCCTGTGCGATGTGTGAAGGGATGCAACCACGCGTCAAGCCTAATGCTGACTTCTCCCTTCCCTCAGCCACACTGGTCTTGACTTTGACAATTCTTATAGCTGTTCTTTCGGGGCCTTTTCGTGTATATCACAGCGGCTGCGACAGCCACAGGCAGCTGAGACTTGAGAGAAGGGGATAAACAAGCTCAGCACTTCTCAAAACAAGCTGGAAGTCCAAATTACACCAAGTCCCTCTGGTGTAGCTACAACCTTGACATAATGTGCTACACACCTGAATCCGATATCCCTCCCTGTCTCCTGTGAGACACAGCAGCACCAGAGGGAAACAGAGGTCAGCACTGATGCACTCTGAAACCCAAGCTGCTTTGGATACTCTGATTGAAATACTACTCACTCACTGTACAGTAAGGCGTTCCAGCTCCTCTCATATGGCTATTTTATCGAAGGAAGTCTGTGTATGTATGTGGTTCACCTTAAGTGTAGGCAAGGCTGAGTGTACTACTGGCTGCTCTTGAGTGTAGTCCCCAGCGAGATCCAGTTATCGATCTGTTTTATGAGTGACCTTCAGAGGCATGGCCACAGGCAACTGCTACTGAGGGATGAGGGATGAGCGAGATAAGGATCCTGTGGTCCTGAGTCCAACCTCAAAACAGGCCAACACATGCTGCGACCATTTCATAGCTTCATACGCTTCTGATGATTTTTATGTAGCCTACAGAGAATGAAAATCAGGCAAATGTACTCGGAAACCATGTCTGTGAATCACATCAGGAGTGCAAATCAGGACAAATATTCCATCTCTCTCTCTGTTTGCTATACCTCTATTGGTAATTTGTCTCCATGGACGTCCTCAATATAGGCAGGTTATTAAGTTTTGATTGCAAATGATATTAAATTCAGCAACATATCCCCTAGGCTACCTTCTAATTGAGACATAATGAGTTCCCACCGTTTTAGCCTCAGAAAAGATTAAATATATCCGGAAGGTGGATATATTTAGGATCTGATAATCACAAGTAGGCCATTGTTCGCCGCAAAACACTGTAATCTCCTGACTGAAAACAACCACAGTGGTAAATATTGTCTTTTACGCACAACAGGCAATTAGGACTGACCCACGAACAGCGCGCAACTGGACTGGAATTAGGGAGAAGGAAGGAGGACGGTTTGGGTTGCCAGATAAGCAGACACCATTAGTGCATTAACTGTCAATTTCCAAAAGCTCCCAGCTGTCAAAAGGTCTCCTAGCAACAGGCCAGCGCCTCGGTCCACAAACTATGGGGACGGAGAACAGCCTCCCCCGTACGAGCAGAACAATCCTGTTGCATCTATCACAGGGCGCACTCACACAATCCACACGATGTTTGGTGTTTGGAGCACCTTAAGGCTTTGCAGGAATGTACTGTATTCAGCCCGCTCCTGTCTCATTATGCCACAAGCTTACGCACCTCATATGAACGTGTTAGGATTCGGTCCCGTCCCCTCTGGCGGCGCCTCCGTTACATATGTCATTAGATGTCCGAGGTTGGTCTCCCGTACATCCGCGGCGAGAGGAAACGAAGAGCGCAACGGCGAGCAGACGCGCTCAGTTATCTCGGACACTTTGGTTACACTGTGGCACCTAAATTGTTACATTATAACCCCGCCTCTCCACGGCGGTCACATGGATGTGGACATAGAGGGTTACAGCGCCACCAGGTGGACAATTGGGACACGGCAAACTGCGTGAATGCCTGTGTGTTTACTACATACAGCATGATAGGCCAATGGGGGACACTAGGAGTCCTCGTAGGATCTCCAGGGGGCGTAAAGCACAATGAGGAATAGTCTGATTAATGTTACTGTAATTACTACTGTAACTGTAAATAAACTCAGTGATGTTATTGGGGTTTTATTCTTACTGGATACTTCAGTGGAGACAGTTCATCTGTAGGTAGCAGTCTGTAATGCCTAAAATATTCCTATTTCTTATGGATTATTCTGTAGCTGTATACTGTTGTTTTGATATTTGATGAGCATCCCCTGCAGGCATTACTGGGATTTAGTCCTTTCTGGGCTAAATTGACAAATGTGTGATTTCCATCTAGCGGTATGTAGTAAAACTACACCAGCATCCTCACCAACTATCTCTTCATCTTTCCATGAAATAGCGACATCACCTCCTGTTGATATGGATGTGAAAAAGCCCACCGAGTTTCTAAAAAAAAAAGAAGAAAATATCTAGATTAATATACAAGTTGAATTTCTGAAACAGAGCCTGAAATAAAATTGTGGTGACACATTTTAGATTCACAAATCCCTGCAGTTTCTCTGACAGCTGGACTGGGATTGTCCATCCTTCACACATGCTGCGTTCAAGTGCTCTCCGTCAATCCCCAGTTCTAAACTGCCGGTGCATTCAAGTGCACCCTTGCGTTTGAATATTCCTTTAATAAGTTACTTTTCATCCATTTGTATGTGAATGGTTACTACACTGTTTGAACCTTAACACTATTTCGACTTTCAAACGTGTTTGACCCCTTCAAAAGTGTTTTACCTGAATAAATGTGATAGATATTTGACAATGTCTGTTTTCCGTATGCCTGTAACGTTAAACAAAACGTATCTACGGACATCGGTTCATAATAATGTCTCCAACTGCACCTGAACGCAGCTTCACTTCCCAGCAGCCAGACAAGAAAAGACAGAAGGACTGTGCTGGAGCTTGTCGCAGGAAACACGCTACCAAATTCCCCACAGAACAGCTCCAACAAGTACCCATGTAGTCAGCTGTTGCATGAACTCCAGGGCAGTTGGGGGTAAGTGTTTGTGTTAGCTTTTTTTCCCTTACCCTTTTAATTTTTTAAAACTTTGTTGTACCGAAGTTGTTTCGGGCCCCCGTCCATGGCAGCGACCGAGGCAGGGATGTTTACTGTACTCTCTCTCCGCTTTTGGCGTCTAATTGACGGGAAAATGTCTTTCCTGCCGATAGACTGACATACTATTAGCAGTATTTACCTTTGGGGATATGCTCAGATGTGTTAGGAACGTATTAGTTATGTTTTTACTAACCTGTACATGTCTGGTTGTTACATTTAAGTGGTGCGCGTCAAACGTTTGCTCTGCTAACTTTTATTGTCTCTTTAATCAGTGCTAAAAGGCTAACCGAAAAGTTTATGCTAATAACTAACCAAATGCTTCAGCCTGTTATTTCAGTGCAGCTCCAGGCCCTCACAGACCTACAGGCTGCATTATGAAGCTTGTTTGAAGGTGGTTACTTTAGCTACATATAGACAGAGGTGAGCTAATATTAGGTAACATAAACTCTGACCACCAGTGATAATATCAGCATATGATAATCATCAGGAATTCAGGCACCTACACAAACAACTCATTTCTTTGTTCTCAAAAGACCACTTATTCCTATAAACAAACTTCAAACACTCCTTGTTGTAATACATGTGTTATATAGCCAGAAGTAAAACCCCAAACTAGTCCTGTGTGAGCCCCTGTGGAAACCTGAACTTTGCTCTTGTATTCACTGGGAAAGTAGATTCTTAGTCGCTCCTGCAAGTGTGTGTATGTGAAACTGTGGCACTTCAATGTGAAGTTTAATGAGCGTCAACAAGCTGAGACTTATTCTACAGCATCAGCCTGGATCTTAAACATCCCCCACCCTGTGTAAATGCATGCACTTCAAGGCTGCACAGGGCTTGACTGGGTTTTGTTGCTTTAATTCCATTTTGCTGATGCGTCTCCAACCGGAGCCTGAGGACCTCGTGGGACCTGTAGGGGCGCCCAGACTAATGCTTAATTTATTTTAATTTTAATTTGCTTAGCTTAATTTAACTCTCTAGGTGATAGCACAATGAGGGGTTGTGTGATAGACTGCTTTGATGATAGGGCTTCAGTCTTTCCCTGCTCTGCAACTCTGTGGTGAATACGGTAATAACCACCTACAAAAGTCTTTTCAGCTGAGGTTCCTGAAGTCAAGTGTCTATGAAACATGGGCTGTGGTGCAAAAATGAAACCTCAGGATAAGCTCTAGTCATTGTTGAGCTGAAAGCAAAAACCCACGTCACTATATATACTTTATTTTCAGGGATGTGGGATTCCTATCTTTACCTGCTGCAATGCCCGCCGGCTCTACTGAGATGACCCCAGGAGAAGTGCAATGTGGATATCAGAGTGAGCCAGGGAAAATCAACGTCTGGACCAGGATATCCTCACACTGAGCCAGAAAGAAACCTGTTCCCGTCCACACAAAAACACTCACACACACTCACTCCCAATCCGTCGTCGCAATGCTGTTGCCAGGACCGCTGTGGGCGTGCCTGGCTCTGATATGGGTGGGAAGCTGCAGTGCCCACAGCCTGTTTACCTGCGAGCCCATTAAGGTGCACCGGTGCTTGGGGGTGCCCTACAACATGACCTTCTTTCCCAACATGATGGAGCACTATGATCAGGAAATTGCAGCCAGTAATATGGAGGTGAGTTTGTTGATACACTTTATTTTGCCAATACTGGCTTTGTTGGGCATTAGCCAATCGATCCCGCTGACTACTAATGCAATTTATGTGCAGTGATGAACTGGAACACACTGATACAGGATATCAGACAGTGATACAGTCAGACAGTTTCAAATTGGATGAATTTTCCTCAAGGCAGTTTAAGGGGAAAAACCTCATGTTAAAGGGTTTCACTAGTCTAGGGTTCCATCAAGAGTTGTAATTATATTAGCCTGTGATAGAAAAGCTTCCTCTGCTTGTAAATACAAATTATAATTCAAGTCACATTTAAAGGTAATGAATACCATCGCAAAATAATTGCTATGATTAGTGCTATTATTAGTGCTGTTCCAGTCTATAAATGTCAGTGTCTGTCAGCCTTCAGAAGTGCATATCGAGTGAACCCTAATCACCCTTTTGTGATGCTCATTAACAAGCACACACAATTCAACAGCCACAGTTTGTCCACAAATCATGCCTTATTGGTGTAGAGCGCTGTCTAGTAAAAGATAACTATGCTTTAAGTTCCCCGCTGTCAGAAATAATTCATTTTTCAAAGCTATACGTCATTGTCACGTTGACATTTATGTGGGGTATTGGTGTGAAAGAAGGTGTGTCCTGTCACTGGAGCTACGCGTGATTGTTCCTTCCACAATAAAAGTAGATTAAGAAAGAAGAACATTCTTTTTGTATGGAAACACGCTACTGTACATGGGAGCAGTTACAGTGGAGGGGTTACATACTGTCAGTGTTTCTATTCATAACAAAGAAACGTGGGGTGATGTCACTTTTAGTCCGGCCGCTCCGTGATGTGTGAAGAGATGAAAAGGTGCAGTGTTGGTGTCTGAGTGCTCACTATCTGTTGTTGAGCAGGTGTCTTCAGTGCTGGTGGAAAAAGGGGGAAACTACTACATTTGTAGGCAATGACTTGCTCCATGACAGCCTGTCTCCTAGCAACGTTGACGCTCAAATGTCAGTCAAATGTGGCCGAGAGAAACTTCCACCCAGAGACTTGAAGTTTAGACCATGGTTATACAACTATGTCAAAGGAAATGGAAAGATATGCACAGTAGCCGCAGCATCAACATCATGTATGTTTTCCCACACAGAAAGTGAGGAGAATCCAAATTTTAACTTGCGCTCAGACTGATCAACATTTCTCTCTATAAAGATCTTGCCTAATGCGACTTTTGTCACTGGCCTTATGTTTCCAACATGCCTTTGTCCCTCCTCAGCAGTCAACTCAGTTTCTGTAGTTGTTGCATCCTGTGTCCTGGCATTCCTGGAGGCCAGGGTTTGGGTTACACACATTTGGTGTCAGAGCGTTGAGCATGAACAGTGATCTGTTGAAGCAGTCTTTTGTGCGGCATCTGGCAAAGGTAGCAGGCTGACAGGTAAAGGCTTTTTATTTCACAGCGAACTTGGCCACGGGCAACTTCGTCGACTTTGTTGTGAGGGGCCTTTGATATCTGGAGGAAGGGGAGGGACACACCCAGTCTCACACAAAGCCTCTCCTGCATACCACAATGAGTATTCTCCCTCTCTGTTAATCACTCACTCATTTCCCCCCCTGTACACAGTCTTACCTCTACGGCCCTGTCTCCCAGGTGACAGGCTTCCACTCTCTGGCCTACGTTCAACATTACATACTATACATAGCTCTCTTTGAAAGTGTGCAGTGATTTATCACAAAGCCCTGACGCAGTAATCAAGCAGACTTCTGCTTGGGTATTGGCTCAGTCCGGCATATCAGTAGGATTTTCCGGAGGAGGGCTAACCTTTTTCCGCCCTTGGTCCCAGATTCCGCCAGTGTTTGCCAGCTTTTGGACCAGAAAAGTTTGAAGTGTTCGAATACAAAGAGAATGGAAAGACTAATTGACGTACTGTAACGGACAGGGAACTCTTGAGGGTCTTAAAAGTTCGGGCAGAAGTTTGAAAAGTGATTTTGTAGCCGTTTTTTCAAATCATTTAATCCTTGAAGTACTTTGCTCAGAAATTCTCTGCAGAGGATTTTGCCTTTAAGAGGAAATCGGCTCGACTTGTACCGCTGATCCTGGTTGAAGGTTTCTGAAATGAGGGCAATTTTTACAGTAACTCTGCCGTAAAGCAAATAAAGGTCAGATTGTTGAGCAATGGGCAGCTCATTGAGACGGAGCCCAGGACCTCCGCAGGAGAGAAACAAGGGCGCTTACTGTCAGAGGGGGCGAGCCCTGGCCCCAGAGACGTGGGCCTACTGCCAGACTGGATTTTCAGAAAAAAAGAGGAGAGGAAACAGTGAATAGTGGACTGTGTTGGGCTGTATGTGTGTGTTTTGTGTACAAATATTGGCAATATAGACTGACTGAAGTCTCTCATGTTGGTCTGATAATGGTTGATGCACAAAACTCTAAAACGTAGTGCAGTAGTGAGTGAACAAAGTATTCTGGGTGATGTAAGTGGTTTAGAGACAATAATAAAGGAACTTCTGCAAGTAGTCTGAAAGGTATACACTTACGCAAAATCCAAGCATTTAGAAACATCTGCACAGACGTGATCTGGACATGTTTAAGTGGCATGAAGTTGTCTTCAGTGTAAGCTGCGAATGCCACTAATAAATCCACACAAATTGTTCTGTACACACGCTAATGCTGTGGCTCTTCAGCAGCCTAACCTATCAACAACTCCTCAGCACTCAAGCTCTTGACCAGTGTGTTGAAATGGAGGAATATGGTTCCCAGCCAGTGAATGGGCCCATTTGTGTGGCGCTATAGATCAACACAGATCAACAAAATAAAGTAAATGCTTTATGTAGAGCGTGGTTGTGACCCATTAAAAGCAAAATCAACTTGTGACCCGCCATCGCCGCTTCTATATGTCGATGGGTTATCATAACCAGGTCAACCAAAGTCTGATTGTTTTCTCATGTTTTATCCTGCAGGCCTTAAGAGGGGAAATTATCCAGCTTTTCACAAGAAAAAAGCAAAGATTGGGGAAATGTAAAAAACTATTTTATGTAGTACACATGTTTTTTTCTGGCTTTTCTACTCACATTCACATTTATGACCCACCACTCAGTATGTTACATTATTCAGTCACATAGGGTTCTATGGGGAAATGTTTTCAGGGGTAAAACCAATGTTTAAATCATAAACATCTCCACAGACTGGCAGACCCCCTTAGACCACACCAGCCTCTCGTGTTGACATAACGTTTCTCTCCATCCCCAGCCATTCATGCCCCTGGCAAACCTGCGCTGCTCTCCAGACGTCCACCACTTCCTGTGCCAAGCCTTCATCCCAGAATGCACCGAGGAGAACAAAGTGATCCGTCCATGCAGAGAGCAGTGCAAGACCGTTATGTCTGACTGCGAGGAGAATATAAGGATCTTTGGTATCACCTGGCCTCCTGAGCTACAGTGTGACAAGTAAGAAAACCACAGTTACAAATAACCCACAAGAGCAACCGCAGTAGTTCCTGATCACTTCATTAAAGGATTTGTTTTTTCCCCCACTAGACTGGACCCGTGTAGCTCTCCTGATGGTTCGACACCTCCTGCAACCACCCCGATGAGCTCCTCATCAACCAAGAGGGACCTTGGCTTCTGGTGCCCACTGCAGCTGAAGACCAAGCCGGGCCACGGATCATCGTTCCTGGGCGCTCAGGACTGTGCACCGCCTTGCTCCAACATGTACTTCAAACCCCACGACATTGAATTTGCGAAGAGCTTTATCGGCGTGTGCTCCATCGTCTGCCTGGGCGCCACGCTCTTCACCTTCCTCACTTTCCTCATCGACGTCAAACGTTTCCGCTACCCAGAGCGCCCCATAATCTTCTACGCCGTGTGCTACAGCTTTGTCTCGCTTATATACTTCATTGGTTTCCTGCTGGGGAACAACGCAGCCTGTACCAAAGCGTCTCACCCTGCCGGTGTGGACACAGTGGTGCTGGGCTCTCAGAGCAAAGGCTGCACTCTGCTTTTTATGCTGCTCTACTTCTTCTCCATTGCTGGTATAGTCTGGTGGGTCATACTCACCATCACCTGGTTCCTGGCAGCTGGACCCAAGTGGAGCTGTGAGGCCATAGAGAAGAAAGCGGTAAGGTTGTTCAAAATGGGTTAGTAGCAAAAAGTATAGATATAAAATGAGCACATGCAAGCTATTACCAAGGAGTAAAATGGTTGAAAATATGGATCTGTGTCCTCTGTCTTTAGGTGTGGTTCCACTCTGCTGCCTGGGGGATCCCCGGGGCGCTAACAGTCATGCTGCTGGCTCTGAACAAGGTTGAAGGGGACAATATCAGCGGCGTTTGCTTCGTAGGGCTCTACGACCTGGACGCCCTGCGTTACTTTGTCCTGGCTCCTCTGTGCGTGGGCGTCGTAGTCGGCCTCTTCCTCATCCTGGCGGGCATCGTTTCTCTCAACCACGTCAGGCAGGTCATCCAGCACGACGAGCGCAACCAGGAGAAGCTGAAGAAGTTCATGATCCGCATCGGCGTGTTCAGTTGCCTCTACCTGGTCCCGCTGGTCACCCTGTTGGCCTGCTACACCTACGAACAGAGTTACCGCAGCACCTGGGAGAATACCTGGATCAACGACCGCTGTCAGGAGTACAGCATCCCCTGCTCCCACAAGGTACCTGTGGCTGATTCACTCGCTGAAGGTGTTATGACTCAACAAGTTAAGGATTATATATACAACATTTACAACAATTCAGTTGCCACTGGATGTCACATTAAAACACCAGCATCTCAAACCAAAATAGTGGGACAGAAGTAAAAGAAAACTCATCAAAACCGTCTCTGTTAGTCTTTCCATAGTCCAACAGTTGCCAACACTGGTTTGGTTGAAATATAGCTTTAATTGATGAGAAAATGAGCCGTTTCAGTCGGTCTGCTCAGCACATGGAGCACACTGGGTTTGTGTAAACAAAGCACAGGGAGACTGCGATAGCAACACAGGACACCATGACTCCACTGTATCTTTACATACCAAATAGTTTTTTGCAGCTATGTTCATGTTTTACATCTCATATATATGTGTATATATAACATTTAAGGCCAAAGGACACATTAGAAAACAACAACAACTCACTGTCAGTTTATGTCTACTTGGTTGATGTTGTTGATTGAAGGTCTGTGCATTGTTGGTTGAACTAAAGTTGGGCTTGCTAGTGATCTTTTAATACTGTTAGCACACACATAATTTAACAGCAATGTGACAATTCATCTTTTAACTACATTAGACCAAAAACCACTCTTATAGAATGCATTAAGGTGTTAAACTGAGCCGACAGCATTAGGGTGTAAATAATAAAGGACACACCACATTAAAAAGTGTTTTTGAGAACCATCTGAACCACAAAGACTTGTATCCTCCTACTTTTGTCTCTAACACACGTACTTAATTACTTTTAAAATTAAATAACAGTCTAGTCTGGCCAATCCCTAAATAAAGCCGCTACATCTGTGTGACAAGTGCGATATCCAATGTGAAATTAAAACTACCACATACAAATATTTAAGCAGATGTTGTAAAAGAGGCCTGACAGTCAGTGTTATTTTATATGTGGGTTTTTCACATAAGCTAGGGCAGACCACATAGGAGTATAGAAGGAAAACAATCACTAAAACAACAGTAGATTGCATATCTATATGTATTTTAAAAAGGCCATCTATTATACGAAACCAAACAGGATATTGTGTGCTGTCGTGGAGCCACAAAGTACAATGTGAAAGAGAAAAACAAATCTGTATCCGAGGCGTATAGTTCAAAAGCTTTATTTTGTGCCAAGTTGAAAATTGGGTTAGTTGGTTGACACTCATTAAATCACAAGAATTCTATTATGGTTTGTGTTTGTCTCTTTGTTTCAGACAACAGAGCTCAGCCGCCCTGACCTCTCCCTGTTTCTGGTAAAATACTTAATGACGCTGGTGGTTGGAATATCTGCAGTGTTCTGGGTCAGCAGCAAAAAGACCTGCTCCGAGTGGGCCTACTTCTTCAACAGGACCCGCAAGAGAGAGTAAGACCTCGTCTCTCGCCCTGTTACGTGTATAAATTCCATGAGAAATAAATAAGTAGTGTCACTATAATCTCCTGTTCTCTGACCCACAGTCCCATCAGCGAGAGCCGCCGGGTGCTGCAGGAGTCCTGCGAGTTCTTCCTCAAGCACAACAGCCGCGTCCAGCACAAGAAGAAACACTACAAGCCGAGCTCCCACAAGCTCAAGGTCATCTCCAAGTCCATGGGCACGAGCACCGGCGTCGCGTCCACCAACGCCTCCACCGGCGCCGCCACAGCCAATCAAGGAACCTTTGCGCTGGGCAATCACGAGCCCCACATGCAAGGCTCTCTGTCTGAGGTCTCAGCCAGGGAGCACCTGGAGAGGGGCACCTCCAGCCGGAGCTCCAGGAGGGGGGAGAGGGAGAGGGAAAGAGAGAGGGAGCGGGAGGGGGGAGAGAGACGTAGCAAAGGTGGGAGCTCCAGTAAGATCAGCAGCCGTTCAGAGAGCACGCACAAAGTCCCAGATGGGAGGTAAGTGAGACAGCAACTTGGCTACACTTGTTCTTTTGCATCACGGCTCTGTTTCTGTAGCCTTTTCCTCTCTTCTGTTTGTTAGCAGAGACTGTATATATCCACCAATAATCTCTAATGTGTGCTGGCTGCTTTAGGATGACGCCGAGGAGCGAGTTGTCAGAGGCCAGGCAGGTCCCCGGTGGTCAGCAGCATCCAGCTTTAAACCTGTCACACAGCAGCAGCCTCCAGGACTCCACCCACCAGCTGGTGCACCGGGTGCCTGAGGAGAGCAAGGACACAAAGGATAGCAGCTGCTGAGACATCTCATCCCCAAATGTATCATCCATCCATCAATCGACCCTTGAAACCACTCACAGTCCCACTTGATGCTGGTTCCTGTATCTGTTTCAAACCATAGTACCCATTTGTGTCATACATCATATAAGCTTCCTACATCAGATTCTGATTGTATTGGTTACGTTGTAGTCAGTGAATGTTCATTGTAACATACCTCGAGTATTTCAAATGTAGTATGTTGGAGCAGAATCTGTGGGTTTCAGCGGAGAGCCTAACAGCGTTGGATTGTTATTTAGTTAAGGTGACAGCTGTGTCTTTGAGCTTTACTGAGCGTATGTCCATTTAGTATACACCTGAATGTTGCAGCAGCTGTTCTGCACCTATACATCTACCAATGGTCATTTCATTTTATAGCATGCATTAAAAACTCTAGGTCTACTGTTGGGTAGATTTGTAGCTCAGTGGCATAGAATGCGTTCTAGTAAACAAATGCAATATTTATGTAAATATTCTATTTTTTAGAAATGAAGTCTTTCACTGGACTAGTCACTACACTGAGTGTTACGTTAAGAAAGGTCATGATATTGCCAAACATTCAACTTAAGGAGAGTCTTCCTGTGGTAAACTCTTTCTTTAAATGTCTTATTGTTCTTCCTGGAAAGATGGTTTGCACTCAAACCTCAACTTGTGATACGCATAGTGTGCTACTTTATTGCTCCTTTGAAAAAAAGGCATACTCTCACTACTTAAACTTGATATAGTTGATTTTTAGACAATGTTGGATTTGTGATTTTCCTTTGACAAAGTTTTCTTTCAAACACTTTCACTCTGTTTCTGTTCTGTATTTACTATGCTGAGTTGTCTTCAAAGAAGTGTCCAGTGAGTTTGGATAAAGTATAGCTTTATAGTTTTCTACAAGAATGTGCCTTCCTTTGAGCAGTTCCTCATCTTTAAAGAACTTCAAAGAATCTCCAGGTGTTTTGCATGTGTGATGTCTGCCTGTTGTAGGTGTAAATTCGTGTGATTTTTAGTCAAATTGAGGAAACAAATCAAACAGGCTTTGCACTATTTGTCATTAGAAGCACAAACCATGAATTATTAAGTATGAATAGTCATAAACAAACACAAAAGAGAATTTGTGGCTTTGTTCAGGGCGTATTTATAACATGGGTCACAGACCGTATATATTTCTTTTTAAGTACTTCCAGAACAACTTCTGTGATTTATTTGAAAATCTGTCATGCTGTACTGTCTGTTTTGCTGTGTAAGGGATTCATTCGTCCCTTAAGTTTCTTTACTGTTCATATTTGGGAGTCACAGGACAGTTCCAGTAACACTAATTAAAAGGGAATCCTTGTCAGTATGTTTCTGTTGTACATGTATGTTCTTACTCTGGCATGTGGACGGGGGTCTTGCTTATAATGTACCTAGACTTAGAGTAGTCTATGAAATGCTCTACACCACTTTTGTGAACCTGAACTTTTTTTTTACTGTTTTTTTTATGTAGCCTATCTTTTCAGTTGAATTTTGTATCCATCCAATTTAATTTTAATAAAATATAATTGAATAAGAACGTCATGCTTGTGTGTTTTTATTCTATTTATGGTAGACTTTACTTTTAAAACCACTAATATCTTCACACACTGCAGATGGCACACAGATCTGGTCAAATATAATAAAAAGGACACTGGCAGGATTACAGGCGCACATACGAACACCGTGGGGATGTTCTGAGGCTTTTTCCCTCGAGTGCGTTTCCTGTAAGTTGACTGGCTCCTTCCCTCTCGTCCTGCCCTCCTCTGGTCTGAAACCCTGGCTGGAGTTGGAGTCCAACTGTCGCCTCAGGTCTCTCAGAGGGAGCGCACGGTTGTCTCTTGTATGATGTCTCCTCTCGTTGCCCGCCTGCTGCTCCTCGTCTGCTTGGCTTTACCTCTTTATGGCGTGGAAAAGGTGGAAAAGGTGAGAAATAGAGGATACCGAAAGGATCCTGACGCTGACAAGGTAAGAGGGAGTTCGTTAGGGGAGATTTTACCATGTAGTCGCTATGATCTTTTCCAGAAGTACATATGTGGCATTCCAGGGGACATTTACGCCTTTTGGACATATTCCGTGGCCTCATAACGAATAATCACATGTAAAAGTACAATTATGGCACTAAAAGGACTAGATTGTCACTCATCGCTTTTGTTGTATCTTTGATGCATCTTTATTAACATGTGCATGTTCCTAAAACTCATCCTGGGATTACGTTTTCTTGCGGAATGCTTTGCTGTTTGCCAGAAGTCTCTTTAAACGACTGATTTCCCCAAAAAGAGCAAAGTAATGTGCTGATTCATCCACATGGTCCACATGTAGGGATTACAGTGCAGGCAGTGTGGTCACCGCTTTGGCAAAACGGGCTCCAAAATGACCTGCTCCCAGAGGCAAAGATGAGAAAAAGGCCGTTTTATAGCCTTTGTATGGTCAGCTGGTTCTCTATTATTCCAGCTTTGGCTGCTCTCCAGCAGACTGAGTGGACAGAAAGAAATCCCCTAACAGGAAGTTGGGGTCTGGCTCATGCTGTCTGTCTGTCTGTCTGTCTCTCTTTGTTATCTATGTGGCTGTTTTACCAGCTTAAAAAAAAAAGAAAAGAAAAAGAAAAAAAAGCTATTTGATTTTGTTTTGGGGAGATAAATGTGATAAATGTGTTATAATATATCTGATAATATTAACAAAAAGTCCACAGCGCCCAACCTCCAATCTTAGACTATCTTTGTGCAGATGTACATGAGCCTCTATGCTGTAGGTGGGGAGTGAAGGAACAAAGACCCACATTTCTCTCTTTAATCTCTGGGGAGTCAAATGAAAGTGAAACTGGTGTTTATTTTGCTGGGACTCTGTGGACCTCCCTCAGGGACTCCTACAAGTCTGCACACCCCACTTAAAGAACCACAGAGCTCCACCAGTTGCTCTCCATTATGCCCCACTGAGTCATATTCCACGATTGAGCCCACAGCAGAAGGATATAATGAATAGCATCTTATGTTACCATCTGTGTCTAGTGCACGGGAAATGATGCAGAAAAGCCCAACTGCACTAGACATTCTGGAGAAGGAAGATCGACTTATTTGAACAACATGGTAATCATGAAATCCTATTTTGCATCCTCTTCGAGATCCTCTGAATTGAAAAGCTCTCAAAGCCGAGCATTATGTCCACGCTCTGCATGCTCCAGGAGAGCTTCAGTCCTTGCTTCAGTGTTGTGCATGAAATACTACTGCTTCCCTCAGCACTTTGGGGGCAAATGCAGCCTTTATGCTTCAGTTACAGTAATGGACTGTGTGCTACTAATATGCAGGCAGCTCCACTAGCTATAGAAGCAGCAGACAGTGGACAGAGGTTCCATTCATTAGTCTGCTTTGAAATGTCTCCAAGAAGTCCAACCCTCAATAAAATACTGCGATATTTCCTTGCTGAATAACGACCAAAGGGATTCGTATTGTATTTGCAGCGAATTTCCAGCTATTAGTCGAGGTGCTTGGACGTTTTGTCCCTTTTCCTTGAGGACAGATTCCAGGTCTATTACTGCACATGCATACCAACCCACAATCTCCTGGTTTCATCACAGACTTCCCAGTTTCCTATAGAGATGATGTCAGACTTCACATCTCCAGGTTGCTCCGGCATAGCCACTTAATGGCTAAAACAGACTCTGGACCATCTGTTTCGCTGCAGCTGACTTAGAATATTGTAATTCTCCCTACATTTAAGCATTTTCCAGATTCACGTGGTCTGAAATAGACTTTTTGAACTTCTCCCCAGGGACTTAGGTCGAGACGAGATGTTGAAACCGGAGTAAAAGCTCTTTGTTCTCCTCTCTTGCCGGAGGACTTTTATTTTTTTACCCAAATGTCTTTTGGCCATGTGCCCCTATAACTGCTTCACAGCTGCATGTGGAGCAAAAGGTCAGCAGTGACCCAACAAAAGCCCAGACCTTAATCCTTTTGGCATCAGCGTTTGCTTAAGGGCGAGGGCGCTCTTCTACGTGTCAGTTTATGTGTGTGCCGACTGAAGGAAGGAGTATATGACACTTACGCATCACATAACCAAAGTTAAACTCCCAACTAAAAAAAGCTTCAACAGCTAACCTACACACTGTAATCAGTGGGTCAACATGTCTCTTTGGAGGACATATTACACAAAGCTATCTTGGATCTTAATTGTTTCTATCTCTGTATGTGGTAGGGAAGTTTTGGCAAGCTCCCCCACGTCTCTGTGTGTACTTGAGTCAGCTTGAGAAAGATCATCATCTGTTTAAACATAGCAGGAGATTCAGCCGGACAGTGAATCACACCAAGGGATCTATGACCAGACACCTACTAATTCAGGCAGTCTCCAAGCCTTCAGTTCCTCATTAACATGCGATCTGTCATTCACTTGCTTCATGGCTCCATGGTGTGCTGGTTCTATGGCTTTGCCTTGGTTTGGATCACATCTGTTCTTGCACTCATTTCAGCCCTATGGCAGTGGATTTGTTTATATGACTGGTTAATGAGGTATAATCAGGCTTCTTGTGTGTGATGGTTGGATGAATGGTAGCATTAAGGCGTATTTCGCATTGCATGCAAGCTAAACAGCAACTTATCCCCCTGGAAGGATAAAGAAAATCTGAAACAGGAAGTCAAATAACAATAGACTCTGCAGATGTTGTCGCATGACTTCTTCTTATTGTCAACTTCCACCACTACTTCCTCTTTCCCTGTTTTTTTTTTTTTCAGTATGGCACTTGCATGCAGGGGCCGGCAGGCACTCCTGGCAGGGAGGGTAACCCTGGAACCAACGGCATCCCGGGGACGCCGGGCATCCCTGGCCGTGACGGGCTCAAAGGAGAGAAAGGGGAGTGCATTAATGAGATCTTTGAGGAGCCCTGGAGGCCCAACTACAAGCAGTGTGCCTGGAACTCTCTGAATTATGGGATCGACCTGGGTAAAGTAGCTGTAAGTATCTGAGTGTGGGTGTCCGTTTCAATCATTTTACAAACTCACAGAAATGGTGAACAACCACCATGATGCATAGAAGTGCCAAAAGGTCTTGATGCTGTGTTGCAGGACTGTACGTTCACCAAGCTGCGGTCAGACAGCGCCCTCAGAGTCCTCTTCAGTGGCTCCCTCAGACTCAAGTGTAAGAACGCATGCTGCCAGAGGTGGTACTTCACCTTCAATGGGGCAGAGTGCACAGGACCCCTGCCCATAGAGTCCATCATCTACTTAGACCAAGGAAGTCCGGAGCTCAACTCGACCATCAACATCCACAGAACATCCTCAGGTACGACTCAAGTCATACAGTAGGCTTTGTTGTGCGATAAACAACCTGAATCAACAGGTTGTTTATCAACCAATATGTGGGTTTCTATTGGCAGAAATGGAATATAATATTCATATGTATGTTATCATTAGTGTATAATCTCAATATAGGAATCTATGTGTTTTGGTTACCTTAGAATGAGTTTATTATCTATAGAGGGAGTGTTTCTACGGTAGCCCAGAATGGACAAACCAAACACTGGCTGAAGATAGAGCCTTTTTTCTCCTACATGCTTGGAAGGCTGAGCTGTATTGTTGGTTCCAATCTGCACCTTCAACTTTAGATGTCCCTAAATCCTACACACTGGTCCTTTAAATGTAATCTTTTATTTACCCTTCTGAAAATGGCCATTATTTTATAAAATCACATACAAAATGATCCATATCGGTATCGTTAAAATTCTAACAAAAAGTATAGCTCAGACAGGCGAGAGGCTTCCCCCTTCTATTTTATTTATTTTTGCTACCTTCAGATAGAGCGAAGCTAGTTGCTTCCGTTTCTTTGTGCTAAGATAAGCTCACCGGCTGCTGGTTGGAGCTTTATTTACCAGACCAGAGTGGCATCAATCTTCTCATCTAACTCTCGGCAAGGGAGCAAATAAGCATATTTCCCTGTCCCTTTAAGTGGTTATTTAACTGCTGTGGTAGAGTTACACTGTCCCAATTAGGTTTGGGAAAGTTCATCACTGTGTCAGAAAACAAAACGGTTAACAATTTCTGTCTCTGGAAGCAGTTTGGGTGTTCCCTGAAATTCATTTTCACTGTCTTCTTCTCTTCTCTCCAGTTGAAGGGCTGTGTGAGGGTGTGAAAGCAGGGCTGGTGGATGTGGCCGTGTGGGTTGGGACCTGTGCCGACTACCCCAGAGGTGACGCATCCACAGGGTGGAATTCAGTATCCAGAATTATCATCGAGGAACTGCCCAAATAAAATAAAATGTTACATGTAAGGGAGGGACCGGTGCTGGTAGTATAACAGTAGGTTATCTGGCCCTCCAAAATGATCAGGTTTGGTTTGCTGAGGGCTCACAGCATCACTGATGCTAACTTGAATGTTTTTATGTTGTGTTTAAATACTATACTAGTCGACAGGCCTATAAACAAAAATACTGTCATTCTGTCTAGCAGAAATAAACTTTGTACTGTAGCTTCTCTGCTTACGGGTGCTGTTGGTATGCAGTCACCATTTAACAGACATTGTGACAAGACACTGACCATATTTAAACTATCTACTC